ATACAGCATTAAAGCATTTATATAAAATTTAAGAAACATAAAACAATACTATATAGAGTGATTCAAAAAGAATTGGACAATGGAATAAAAATGAACCAACTACTGATACATGCCACAACATGAATGAATCCAAAAAACATAAATGGAAGAAGTGACACATAAGAGTTTATGTCCACTCATATGAAGTTCTAGAATAAGCAGATGATTATTTTCTACAGTGATAGAAAACAGGTTAATGGTTACTGAGGGAAGGAGTATAGGCTGGAAAACAGCATGAGGAAACCTTTTGGGGTAATGAGAGTGTTTCACATCTTTACTGCGATGGTTCCATTTGTCATAAACTTAAAATCTCTGTATTTATTTTATGTAGATTATCCTCAACAAACTTTATTGCAAACAGAACTGAATGCATTACAAAACATATTACTTGATAATGAAGTTGCAGTCAAAAACAATATGCAAAGGAACCATCACTGATATTTCTATAATCTTATGAATGCTCAACACACTTTTCCTATCAAAAAGCACACATCAATTATGTAGCCCACTTCATTCAGCCGCTTTGTAACATGTCACCACTGTTCATTGTTGAAATGGCATACCCTCACAGCTGCAAGGAAAAAGTGGGACAAACAACGTTCTTTTTTTTTTTTTTTTTGACCGGTAAAGGGATCGCAACCCTCAGCACGGTGCTGTCTGCACCACGCTCAGCCAGTGAGCACACCAGCCACCCTATGTAGGATCCGAACCCGCAGCCTCGGCGCTACAAGCGCCACACTCTCCAGAGTGAGCCACAGGGCCGGCCCACAAACACGGTTCTTGACACAAACTCACAAAAAGTCACATGGCAGGGTATCTGAGAGATCTGGAGGCCACTGTTCCAGGGGCAAGTCCTCTTTTGAACAGTGTCCAATCCATATCAGGAAATGTGTCCCAGTAGGAACCTCTGGACTGAGTAATGGATGTGAGGCAGAGCTTCATCCTGATGGAAAATGCGGTTGCTGGAGACTTTTAGTAGTTGCAGAAAAAGCCATTCCATATGAGTGTCCAAAAAATATAACTGATGGTTTCTTTTGCAACAAGAAACTGATGAAGACCATGTGTTTTATATGGTGAATCCCTTATAAGTCCAATTGTGAAATATTGGTTTTCAATGCCCCATACGTGGAGATGATAATGACTCATTTCTCGACTTAAGCAAAACTAGCTTCATCACTAACAGTTGTCTCTACTTCCCTGTAACCCTAAAATCTGCAGCAAAACTTGTATCATTTTGCTGTAACTATTTCCATTAGGGCTTGAAAGAAGTTAAAGATGTAAGGTTTTATTCTCCCTTTATGAAGAATGCACTAAATGTAGGAGTAGGCTGAAGAATGACTTGATTAATTTTGATTTCCTGGGACTTCCCTAAAGAGGGATGCAAATTTGCCTCACTGCTTCCTCTGTGTACGTGGCTGCCCTGTGCTCTGTCTTTTAAGTTGTACTCTTTCTGCTTCATCTCATTGTACAATGGTAAACACTTTGACAAGTGGTGGATGTCACTGTCTGGTACACCAAATGACTTTTGTACTGCAGTCACATAACCAAGTTTAGAAGATACTAATGTACAAAATTAAGTGCTGTAAAAGTAACAACAATTGATGTATATGTATAAATTTGATACTAATCAAGTTTTGAAAGTATTCAATTACTTTTGTTCCTGTATATTGTTTACGTGTATATAAACATGTAACAAAAATAAACACATAAACAGGATACACATCAACTTCAACTCAGTGCTTGCTTCTTCAAGGAATAAGAGTGAGTTTTAACTGTATATGCAGTTCCTTAAGAAAATAAAAAGAACTGAGGTAAATGTGGCAAAATGTTAATGTAGTGTAGATGTGAGTACACAGGTGTTTATTATATTATTCTCTGCACTTTTCTGTATGTTTGATGTAGTAATGATTTTTTAAAATGAGTAGTAAAATAAATTAGCCTCTGTAGGAAAAGTAAGAATCAAAAGGAAAGGTCTGTAATGGTAACTCTTTGAGTCCACACACAATGAAGTTATGTGAGGTATTTCAAAAAGTTCATGGAAAGATTCATTTTATCTTTTAATGCTATTTTTCCACGAACTTTTTGAAGTGCCCTTATATTACAGAGGTATGCTTCAACCACAGCCTCCTATACATTGTGTCACAAGCAGCTGGGAGGAGATAGGACAAGGACAAGCTGCCTGTGAGAACAAAACCCAGGCTGGGAGAGCAGTAGACCTTACCCATCCTCCACTTCATCCTGCAAACCTCTAGTGTTGCCATGGAGACCTGGGGGAACCCTGGGAAAGAGGGAAGGGGTAAGGCAACAAGAAGCACTTAGATTTAAATTAAAAAAAAAAAAAAAAAAAAAAAAAAGGAGAGGGAAATTAGAAGTTTAGCAGCTAAGAAGAGCAAAAGAGAACCAGTCAGTCAAGGATGGTAGATTAGATATGAATGCCACCTATGACAAATGTATTAAGGATTTAAGCTCTAGGGTTATAAGACAGATATCTTGACCCTCACACAATTTACAATCCTGGTGTGGAAACAAACAACATATAAAGCATACACAACAACTATAATACCTAATATTTACTGAGCACCTTCTTTGTGCTGCACCTTCTTTGTGCTAGGCAGCATTCAAAGTATTTTATGTATTAACTCATTCAATCTGCAAAACTATCTTGAGGCATGAACTATTAATATTCCTACTATTTTACAGATGAGGAAACTGAGATACAGAAAGATTAGGAATTTTATCCAAGAAAACACAACTACAAAGGACAGAGTCAGGATTTAAACTCAGGTAGTGTGGCTATGGGACCCAAGCTTTTAATCATGATGCTAAAGAAGCTTATATTAAACATACTACAAAACACCCTGACTCTGGAATACCTGAATGTAGGTTTGAATTGTGACTCTAGCACATATAACCTCAGCGATTTGCACAAATCCTTCAACTTTTCTCAACCTGCTATTTCAGTGTTGTGGAAAGTCTCAGGTGATATATTAAATCATACAGCAATTACATCTACCATAATTAAGATTATAAATGGACCTAAAAAATGTGACAAGGATCTGCCTTGGGTCATCCATCCCTCCGGGCCTCTTAATCTTTATACCTAAGACCATTTGACTGACAACTACAGGCTCAACCTCAGTCCCAAGACCAATCTTGTCCTTCACTGGGAGAGATTTAAGGAGTTTTAAATAATTCAGCATCAAGTTCTAACAATTGGCTTTAATCACTGTTCTAAAACTAAGACTATCTTACTCCCTAGTTCTAACTTCTGCCTTGCTGTCCTGTAACTTCCCTAGTCCTGAAGGTTTACTATGTGCTATATGATTGATATATGTTATCACATTTAAACCCTACACAGTGTGAGGTAGGTATTATTACACTACATATATTTCACAGGTGAAGAAACTACATAACAGAGGTTAAAATGCCCAAGATCACTTAATAATGTCAGAATTAGAATACAAACCCAGCTAGCTGAAAGGCCATTATTTTCATTCTATAAAAAGCAGTTTTCAAGCCAACTCAAAGGATGCCAGGGGAGACTGGAGAGATGAAAGGGGTTTGGCTCTTCTCACTTTTACAGACACTATGACATGTGGATTGCCACATATTCTTTGGATGCCATGAACTTACTTTTTTCCTTGCTGTTTGCCTGGGCTTCCTTCTCCTTTAACTCAGAGATGAATCTTACCTCAGATTCACCTCACCCATATTCCATGAGAGCCACCTCTTTGGTGGATATATTTTCTTCCCAGTCTGTCCCAGCATGTTCCCATTAACCCTCCCACTCCCAGGTCTGCCATATAATAACAGTGAGTAGTTATACTGGGCATTTTAGAAATGCCACCATTATGTATTATAATATTAAAAACTCTTCCACGCTATGAAAGCAGACTAATATGGCTAGGTAACCCCCCAGATCACTTGTTGCTAGAATTAATTTTAGCAACATATCCTTTAATAAAACCCATCATTCATACCAACTATGGAGTATTCTATAATAATCTGCAATATTTTTAGCCACATGAAGTCATACTAAAAAGACCTAAGCTGAAAAGCTACAAAGGCTCCTTTGCTCAATCTTATGAGCTCTACCACATGACATGGATTCTGAGGGCTGACTGTATAGCAGGTATACATGTATACATAGATAATATAACCATGTTTGAAGGCAAAGTATCCTTCTTAATATAAAAATTAATATTTTTTATTCCTTTCTCTTGTCCATATACTCACGTAGCTTATAATGAGACCAAACAGAACTGTTTGTGAGGAGGGCTGGAACAGTCCTGATTAGGTTAATTAATGAGAAAAGTGTGACTGAATTACGACCTACAATATCAATAGTGACCTTCAGTTTGACATGAAACCTCTTGGTATTGTACTTTGGCAAAGCAAAGTACAATAAATATTATTACTTTGCAGTATTACAAGTACTCAGCTCCCATCCTTTTATGCCCGATAAGTAAACACTGGATGTGCTGCTAGTATTTCCTAAATATGGTCCACAGAGCACCTGCATAAGAATCTCCTGAGGTGCTATTTATATAATATGCAGATTCCTGGGCCCTACAAGTAACCTAAGGAACCAAAATTTCTATAGCATACCAAAAAATCCCCATTTTTTACAAGCTCTCCCTGGTATTACTTAGGTATTGATTTGAGAAATCAATGGCATAAATCCTTTTAACTTGACCTATTTAAAGGAGAGATTTTGTTAAAATAAAAACAAAGCCCTTCTCTATTTTGCTGATACTTAAAATTTCACACATGCAGAATGTTTCTTAGTATGTATCCTTGCAGCAAAAAGCATTCTCTTAATAGAAAAAAATTAGAGACAATAATATTGATCATAATACCATCCTCAAAAGCAGTATCTCAAAGTAAATTTTCACTTTTTTAGGAAGAGCTTTACTATAGTGAAGGAGTTTTTAATGATTAACTAACTAGTCTTCACTCAATTTAGCAGTCCACACAGTTTATTCAGCAATATAGCAGGAGAGAAACTCCATCGTAATAGACATAAGGCAGATACAAGGTGGATCTCTGTGGTACATTCTTTATACAAACAAATAAATTTAGGTTTCACATGTGGCAAGTATGATTTGTTCCATACCAACAGCTACTCATCTCCCACTTCTTACTTCCTAAAAGAGCCCTGATTTTTTCAGTGGAGGCAATGTGCCCTATCCATGCAATGTCAATCCCATTCCCCTTTGCCAGGCTTTCCCAGGCTCCCTTGTGAACCAGTACCCTCTAATGAGCTGTAAGAAGAAATCTGCTAGGGACTTTTGGGAAAGATTTTATTCCCAGATACAAGACAGACTTGAAAGGAGAAAGCCTTTTGCTCCCTACTTCCAGCTTCTGGTTGGGATTGAAATATCTGGTGCAGCAACAAGCCACATTGTACTCACTGAGGAAACAACCATGAGGACAAAAAGCAAACATGGTAAGGCTCCCAGAAGGTAAGGATAGAAAGAGCCTGGGTCCTTGATAATATTGTTGAGCTGCTACACAAGCACTAGATTACCTAGCATCTTAAGTGGAAATTAAAAATTGTTCAGTGGCCTCTGATATGTTTTCAATAGCTTTTTCTAAGGTGCTTCACTCCAATTCTGGTTCCATGATTTTCATGAACAAGAGGAGGACAGAATGTAGCCAGTGTCTAGCAAGAACTTCTTAGTTCTAAGAAAGATGCTTCCTCTGGACTGTTCATAATACTTATGGAGTAAGATTTGATAATTTCTTTAGTCATATATCTCATAGTGTAGGTACTTTTCCATTTCCAGGGGAGGACACTGTTAAGTTCAGTCACCACAAAGATAGGATAGTCTTTGTTTAAGTAGAGCCAAGCAAGTCTAGACAGGTGACATTTCTACCTGTTTTTGTGTAACTTATGGAAGTGCTGCCTGATAGAATGTGATTTCTCTGGCAGTGACCAGTTATCAATAATGTCACAGCCACACTGAGGATGGGCCAAACAGAGCCAATGATAAATGGTTACATATGAATAAATTGTATATATATTTATCATTATCACTGATCAATGTACAAAAGATGGAATTTAGAACAAGGTAATTTCTTACTAAAATTTACTGGAAAAATCTAGGATCCAGCTACAACAAGAACACTGTCCCACAAAAGTTATCATTAGAAATACCATATGGAGCACACAGTATGGGGCCTCCCCTCCTCTAGAACTTGTCATATGTCAATAATCAAGCTGTAGAACTTTTTAGGAGAGACAAGCTAGTTCAAATACATCGTTCATATGGAACATAAATTAGTCTGGTTCTAGATGAACAGTCTGGCTGGAATACTGACTGAATTCATGATGAATAAAATATAAACAGGCCATGGAAGCGGATCCAACAATTTAAGCAGTTCCCCAAAGTAGTGACAGTCTGGGTCAGATTTAGAAAGGTTTTATTTTTCTATCATCCTCCTTGGGCTACTACCACAAAACCCTCTAGAATCTCTATGATTTTGACTGTTATAAAAGTTATTTGTTTTGGCCAAGTTTTTTGTTTAAGGTTTTGTCTGTTCTGGTCAAGATTAACTGTAATGCAGGGTTAAAACCAGCTACTCTGGATTCATGTATCCTTTTTCTAACCAGCGGAGGACCCAGAAGAAATGGATGGCAAGCTTTTTCAAAGGTCCACCTGCTGAGATTTTGGGGAGCCCACTCAAGTGGGAAAGACCAAGGAAGAACAAGGCTTCTATTAGCAGGATTATCAGGATAACACTCAGGGCAATAATCAGCTCTGTTAATACGGTCTAAGAATACTTGGTAACATTCATTTTCAACAAGTTCAGTTTGGTACAACCAATGGCCTAGTTCTAAACTAGGAAACCACTGTTGTCCACAATCAGGGCAATGTGAATTATCTGAGAACATCTGGACCTAGAAAGAAAACACCGGGAGCAACGTAACAGTAAGAGGCAGCAATGACAAACAGACACCCAAATAACCAGTCCTATTACAGGGCTGGTTTAGCAATTTCTCAGTTCAACAAACATTACTTGGAGAGGGTTAAATTTGGCTTGCACCTCAGTGCAATTCTTCAAGATTTCGTTGTCTATTTTTCACTCAGTTGCAACTCCGTCTCTGAACTCAGGGACTGATCCAGTCTATGGTGTCATCAGTCACTTACTAGCAGCACAGATCTCAGAATAGCTTCCCAAGTCCCAGTTTCTCAAGAAAAGATAAGGCTCTAGTCTAAATAAGTTATTTTTTTCTTATGTGTTATCAGCTGGTGGTGGTGTCACACAGAGGCACTTGGCTTACTCTGCTTTGTTGGTAAGGTTATTATGTCTGCTTGGTGAAACAGAGGAGCTGACAGATCCAATAGGTCTTTTGTTGGCGCTGGCACTCTCGCTGTTGTAATACACGTACCCAACTCTTAAGGCCTTGGCACTTTACAGCGATGTAGGGGGATCAGGAAAACCTGGTAGAGTCCTCTTGAGCGTGGATCCAATGAAGTCTGTCTTGGGAGGACCTTAAACAGGACCCAGTCACAGAGAAGTAGCTGATGATGAGTTGGTTGGAGGGTCTGGGAATGCGTCACATACCTGCAAATGATAAAACTTCAGACGACTCATATGGGCTTTGCAGTTGCTCACAGTATAGAAACATGCATTTGGAAATTATTTGGGTCAGTGAAGGTGGATGAGAATTGTTTCATAGGTTTCCCGATGACAATTTAACGTGGGCTCAAACCAATTTATCTGTTGGGAGTTATTCTTTATGCTTATATGGGAACTAGGGAAGGTTTTGGATCATTTAAGATTTGTACTAGGACTAGCTTAATTTTTTTCTTTTTAGGACTGTATTTCTTTTTTCTATTCCTTTTGCACCTTGAGAATAGTAAGGTTTGTATAATAATGTTTAACCTGGTAAAACTCTGAGATCTCTTGTATATCTTTTCTATAAAAATTGATGCCATATACAGAATTCCCAAAATGTGTGGGGTAACATTAATGATGACAGCCTTTCCATTATAGGTCTCAGTCCATCCCAGAAAAAGCTTATGAAATTATTACACAGTACTCTTAAAAGCTACCCATAGGAAGTTGGATGAAATCCTTCTGACGAAACCAAGAGGGGTGGGTCTTATTGCCCACATCTGTCTTTACAGGTTTATGCACATTGCCAGTTTGAGAAGGCAAGTAAAGGCATAGCTCTGAGCAACATTCCTAAGCTATTCTTGGAAAATACGCAGTAAATCGGTTGAAATTTGCAGAGGCTATCATTATCTTTGCATTCCCTTCATGACACTGAATGTAACATCTAAACAAGGTGGGGTAGGAGGACATATGAAACTAGATGGCCACCTAGGGAGTGTCACAGTTCATCAGAGTACAACATATACCCTGCCTTTCTCTAGTATTCTTTTTGTAAATTCTGAGACTTGAGCTGGTGAGAGTAATAAGGGACATTAGGGACTGCACAGGTATTAAAACTGTATAAAGATCTGACCTGAAAAGCAGGAATTATAGCCTTTCGCTGTCTATTTTTCACTCAATTGCAACTCAGTCTCTGAACTCAGTGATTGATCCAGTTTAGTGTCATCAGCCACTTACTAGCAGTGCGATCCCAGAATAGCTCCTTGCGGTCAAAGCATCTTCCTTACAGACTATCAGTACCAGATTTTAAAACGGCACATTTAAAAGGCAACTGAAGAGCCTCTGACAGTGCTACAACATGGGGCTCATATTTTGATAGGAGCCCCAAAGGAGGTGAAATAAAGTCAGTGTAGATTTATTGATGTGTTTTTTGAGGTCAGGTAACAATGGGTGAGGGCGACCAATTTGGCTCCTTGGGCAGAGCAGACAAAAAGTAGGGTTCCTGACTCAATGGCCTTATGCTTGGTGGTGATAACACAGGGTGTGATAGATTTCTCTGAGGGTCTGTTGACAAGACCTACCAGAGTAAAGGTTTCAATTACTGAATTAAAACTTGGGTGTTTAGTCATGGTAAACATGGATGACAAAACGTCCACAATCATTGAGCTCATTAAATACAGAAGATAAAAGTAGAGTAATATGACTAAGTCTCATATTTAAAAGATATGGAATTTTGGATTTTTATAGTGAAATTAGGGAAATGCAGTTAAAAGCACAGTAAGATATGATTTCACATCCACCAGACTGACACAAAATTACCAAGTTTGACAACAAGGGCTCCACAAACTCTAGGCAAAACCACCCCCCTCCCCCAGGACTCCACATCTCCACTGGCAGGAATTAAGAGAAAGCCCTAAAGCTCCAAGTGCTCAGAATAACTCCACTCTTTCCCTAATCTTCATTTCTCCAACTTTGAAAGTCAAGCAAGCACCAGAGCTCCAAGTATTCCTGAATTAAGAGAACTCCACTGTTCCTTGTGTTCCAGAAAGGCTGACCCTCTCCTGGGTCCTTCAACCTACTAAGGGTGAGAGTCAAAAGGAGGTCCAGAGCTCCAAGTGCTTAGAATAATATCACCCATTACCAGCAGCCTCTCTCATTCTTTAGTCTTATCACTACTAGGGAAGTAGGAGTGAAGCAAGGGGCCCCAGAAATGCTCCTGGCAAGATTCCCACCCCACCCCCCATACCCTCACATTCACAGTTTCACTGCCATTACCTGCTTGAAAGCACCAGGAGCAATCTCATACCTTAGTCTCTGTTCATGTCAAACACTACATGAAGCCCAGGACTTCTTGGTTATACTTCATAACCTTAGACTCTAATCCACCATATGACTCTAAGAACAGTGAGATGACACCCACTCCTCTCGCTTTATTTTTTTCCCCATAAATCATGCACCATTTTGTTTTATTATACATTTTACATATTTTCCTCCACTAAAATATAAACTCCCTGACAGAAGGACTTTTTGTCTTTTTATTTACTGCTATAAGTACCCAATAAATATTATTTGGAGAGAATAAAAAGCAAGAATAAAAAGCAACTTGAATCCTTATACTCTAATGATACAAGTGTAAATCAGTACAACCACTTTTGGAATAAACTTGCATTATCCAGTAAAACTGAAGACGTGTATTTCCTATAACTCAGCAATTCCACTCTTAAGCATATATCCCAGAGAAACTTGCACGTGTGCATTTAAAAACACGAATAAAAATATTTGTGGTAGCACTGTGTAATAGCAAAATAACAGCCAAAATGTCCATGAATGGTAGAATGGATAAATTAATCAAGGTATTGTCATACAGTGGAATACTATGCATATAAACAGAGATGACACTCAATGTACAAGAATGTTGAGCTAAAAAAAATCAAGTAGCAAAAAAATATATACACACGCACAATTCTTATATAAACTTTCCATTTACATAAAGTTTCAAAAGCATATAAAATTAATATATTACTTAGGGATAAATATGCAATAAGGCTAAAAAGAAAAGAAGGATAAGCACAAAACTCAGGATAATTATTACCTTTGATGGGAGAGGGAAGGGGATGGGATGGGAGGGCATTCAAAGAATTTCAAAGATAACTAGTTTTTTTCCCTTTAATTGTATGGAGATACAAGAATCCTAATAGCTTATAGTATCTCTATTCAACATTTTATAACTTAAAAAAAAAAGAGTAGAGTGGAAATAGGAATCAGATAGAGAAAGAGATTAATAGGCAAAACCAAACTTTTTCACACTGTGGACAAGAAGAGCAGCAGGAGTTATTCAGCTCATAGACAAAACAGGCGACTGACAGATTGAGAAAAAGAGTAGCCCTACAGAAGTATACGGATCTTGGGGCCGGCCCGTGACTCACTCGGGAGAGTGCGGTGCTGATAACACCAAGGCCATGGGTTTGGATCTCATATAGGGATGGCTTGTTGCTCACTGGTTGAGCGTGGTGCTAACAACACCAAGTCAAGGGTTAAGATCCCCTTACCAGTCATCTTTAAAAAAAAAAAAGAAGAAGTATACGGATCTTTTTTCCTCATAAAATTGTAAGCAACCATCTCTTCACAGAATAAGGTAAGAGAGGCCTACCTAATACTGGTATGAAAAAGAGAGTTTATACTCCTTGATGGCATGAATCTGTGTGTAGGGATATTGTTATTTCGGGTGGTGCCTTTGGGCAAATTAGAAGTCAACTGTCCTCCATGCAAGTTGCAGTCCAGAGAACCTCACTTGGCCAAGTATTCAACAGAACACAGTAACCCATGTCTGTTAGATAACAGTAATAATAGCTAGCATGGAGTGCAACTTTCTGTTCTAAACATTGTATGTGTATTAAGTCATTTTAATCTTTACAATAATCCAGTGAGGGATTATTACCTCCACTTTACAGTTAACAAAACAGAGAGTTAAGCAACTTGCCGAATGTCATACAGGTAGTTGTAGAGAAACCAGATTTTAATCCAGACAGACTGGTTCCAGAGCCTAGACCCTTAACCAGGATAAGATATGACTTTCTGAAGCAGCGACTGTTAAGCTTTAGAAAGCTATTTCACAAGCTGTTTACAAAGCTACAGGATACTCTTCAATTCTATGTATATATTAGGGTGGGGGTGGAGGAAATCACCCTTCATAATTCTCCACTTCCACACAAAAAGATTCAGGATAGGTTTCAGGGGGTCCTGAATCCCCTGAAATTACATGTAATAAGTTTTATGTATATATGTGCATTTTCTCCAGAAAGAGGGTACAAACTTTCAGACTGTCAAAGGAATCTGAAATGGTTTAGAACCATTAGGCATTAATGGCTCCTAGTCTTTTTACTACCAAAGGCAACCTTCACTCCTAGTGCGCGCGCGCGCGCGCGCGCACGCACACACACACACACACACACACACACACACACACACACACAATCTCATTTTGGAAAGATATCCAAACAATCTGCACTCTTGTAATAATTTATTTTATTTTTTTGTCCTTTTTGAGACCGGATGCACCGCGCTCGGCCAGTGAGCGCTGTGAGCGCACCGGTCATCCCTATATAGGTTCCGAACCCGCGGCGGGAGCGCTCCCAGCGCCGCACTCTCCCGAGTGCGCCACGGGCTCGGCCCTGTAATAATTTAATTTTCTCATTTTTATTAATCAGACATGTAGATTTACCAAGGAGAACTTCTAATAAAACAAAAAGCTAATGTCAGTAGCCTTGGTTTGGAAATTTTCAATATTTTAGGGCCGGCCCTTGGCTCACTCAGGAGAGTGTGGTGCTGATAACACCAAGGCCCCGGGTTCGGATCCCATATAGGGATGGCCGGTTAGCTCACTGGGTGAGCGTGGTGCTGACAACACCAAGTCAAGGGTTAAGATCCCCTTACCGGTCATCTTTTAAAAAAAAAAAGAAACTTTCAATATTTTAAATTAGATATAACATTCAAAATGCCTATATCATAAAGTTGGAGATTTAGATATCCTGAATCTGCTTCCTTCTCAACTCCATTAGCTTAAGTCAAAAGCAGTTGATTTAAGGTAAACATATGACTATCACTAGGCTTTTAGAAACGCTGAAAAAAACTTGTGAACTACCATTACTCTACTGATTATTAAACATAATTATTTAAGTTACTGAGGAAACCACCATGTCAGAGGCCCAATGCCAAGTACTGTGGAT